GAGGCCAGACCCCGGCAGGAATGGATGCAACAGCAGTGGGTTTTACTTTTTTGGAAGCCATTTGTTTCTTGAAGAGAGGTTTTCTGAGGGCAGCCTCGGTCCTGGGTGCTTGGGGTCTCTTCCAGCGCCATTGCTCTTGCCTATTCCCAGCATGTTCCTGAAATAGGTGCTTGCAGACTCTGCTTGTGTACATTCAATGCTTTTTGAAGATATTGAGGGCTTTGTTATTACAAGGGACACCTGAGAAAAGGCTTTTGCAAGCAGAGACTCCTTCTCAGTGTGAACAATGGCCCTGGTTTTAAGACGCCTTAGGTTTTGGGCTTTTTGAGCAGGTTTTATTCTTTAGAACCGTTGTAGCATACAGGTCAGTGTTTGTTTTTATGTGTGGTCGTCACATGGGCAGGCAGGTCACCCTGGAATCCCTCTCTCTGGTTCTGTACTGGGGAAAATGACTCACAGTAGGCGTGTTGTTGTTAAGTACTGCCAAGTCGGTTTAGATTCATAGCCACCCTGTTTAAGGCTTGCTAGGAGAGGATCTACTAGCCTTACAGTAAGCAGTCTAGTAGTTTTCCAATAGCACCACACCAGCGTTTGTATCCAGTTGCTTTTGGCGTCACAGAAAAGCATGTTTATACTTATCCTAACCCTCTTCCACCTCAGCTCATCTGAAGGTTCAGATCTGGCCCACTCAGAGGAAGCAGCCACTCAGTGTCTTCCTGACCTGCTGGGAAACTCCTTAGTGCTAACTGCTGTCCACGCTGTTCCCATGAAGGCCTTGACCACTGTGCCCACGCAACCTGGTCAGCCTGTGTCACATTAGTCAGGGCCACCCTGAAATTGTCTTGTGCCCCATGATCTAGGAGGAATTCGGGGCCCTTCCTTTTTCCTTTGCTTAGCCTGAGGTCCAGTACCATAACACAGGTGTAGGCACAGAACCTTCCAGACTGGGCGGTCCTGGAAAGATGAGAGGCAACGTGCTGAGCAATTTAGGGCTATCATTCCACCACCTCCAGTCAGAATGGCCTCTACAGTGTTGTTAAGTACTTTTGAGTCAGTTCCGACCCATAGCAACCCTGTATAGGGTTTCCAAGGAGTGGCTGGTGAGCTTGAACCACCGACCTTGCAGTTTAAACTGACCTTCCAGTTTAAACCGACTTTGCAGTCCAGCGCATTAACCCACAGCACCACACCAGGCCTCTGCAGTGACCACAGCTTAGTTTACACAGCCACTTCCACACCTGGGCCGTGGTGGACAGAGCAAAGCTGAGGTTCTCTTCCTCTTTATATTGTTGCAAAGTAATTCGTTTGCTGATTTAATAGTGTTTTAATCACCACAATAGTCTTTTTTTTTTTTCCATGTTCTTTATTTTATTTTACTTTTTAAATGTTTTATTGTGAATTATATGATAGTTTACATGGGAGAACATTAGCTTTACATTCATCCTATGGTATATCGTTTTATTGCCATGGTTACAATCCCCTCCATGCATCATCAACCAACCCCAGTCGTCAGCACACAGCTCCTCTCCCTCTCTGGGTCTAAAGTCCCCAGCTGCTCCATCTTTCCACATCATCATCTCTGCCTCCATCTCTGGTGTCACGGCTTCTCTAGGTAGGGTCCCGCTCTCCGTTCTTCTCCCTTGATGGTCCCAGGGACCTCCGCTTCTAGACTGCAAGGTCAATCACTCCCCTCCTTGCTACAAAATGTCTACCTTTACATTTCTAACCCTCACAATCAGTCCTGATAACAATTATTCACTATTGTATCACAAGAGACCTATCCCCAGCTCCTTTCATAAGCTCTGCCTAGACAGACTGGATA